AAAAACCATTTGAATACTTGTCTTGGGGTTAATTCCCCTAACATCAACTTATCTGACCTTTTCTGCTTGACTCGGACATATACTAGTTATTGCAAATAAGGGAAGCCATGGGACCTATGTTTCTTTGGGCCTAGCTTACTTCACTTAATATAATTTTTTCCAAGTTTTTCCATTTCCTAACAAATGGGGCAATATCATTCTTTCTGATAGAGGCATAGAATTCCATTGTGTATATATAGCACATTTTCTTGATCCATTCATCTACTGAGGGGCATCTGGGTTGGTTCCATATCTTAGCTATGGTAAATAATGCTGCAATAAACATAATCGTGGTGGTAGCTTTAGTGTGGTCTTGTTTGTGATCACTTGGCTAAATGCCCAAAAGTGGGATTGCTGAGTCATAGGGAAGCTCTATGTGGAGTATTTTGAGGCATTTCTTATTCAAATTAATAGCATTGGCCAATTTTACTGGGGTGAGATGAAATCTGAGTTATTTTGATTTGCGTTTCCTTTATGGCCAGGGATGATGAGTATTTCTTCATTTGTTACTTTTCCATTCTTACCTCTTTTTCTAAGAAGTCTTTCCTTAGCTCCCTTGCCCATTTACTGATTAGTTTATTAGGTTGGGGAGGGGTTAGTTTCTTGAGGTCCTTGTATATTTCGGCTATTCCACCTTTGTCTAGTAGATTGCTGGTAAAGATCTCCTCTCAGTCTGTTGGCTATCTTTCTGTGTCCTTAGCTGTGCAGAAACGTTTTATTTTGATGTAGTCCCACTTGTCAAGTCTCCTATCTGTTGTACCTCCGGACTGTTTTCAAGAAGTTTCTTCCTATATCTGTAAGTTCAATGTGGATCCAAAAAATGTGGTATCTATAAACAATGGAATTTTTCACAGCCTTTAGAAAGAATAAATATTGTCTTTTGTAGGGAAATGGAGGGAATTAGAACAAATCATATTAAGTGGGGTAAGCCAAGTTCAGTGAGACAAATCGCACATATTCTCTCTGATATGCCCAAGTTAGATCTAAAATGAGCCAGGATATGACAAATTATACAGGATTCTAGATATCTAGATACTCAAACACAGTGAAAACAAATTAATATACTCTTCTTAGCAGAAAAACACAAAGATGCATTGCCTAAGCACCTGTTCATATTCATATAACATATATATTGAAAAGAAACTCTAAGATATGGAAACAAGAGATCTCTTTTTTCTTTCTTTTTTTCACTTTTTACTTTGGGACAATTCTGTCTTCTTTACCTTGTGTATGTTATATTCAAATGCGCATCTTCAGAAGTGTTGGGGAGGGTACAGAACTCAAGGGGGAAAGGGTGACAAAGTTCAGCAATGAAGCGCACTAGACACTGATGAAAGTAAAGTACACAACTCACAACTCGTGGGTGGAGACAGGAAGGAGGGAATGGGAGAGACTGAGGGAAAGAAGACACTGTACAAAAGGAAATGTGCTCACTGCCTGATTCTTGTAGTTGTAATCCCTCTGTATATCACCTCTATAATGACAATAAAGTGCATTTATAACAAAAAAGACAAATTGTGCCAAAGTACAATTTGTTTATCTGTTGGTTTACCACCATTTAAGGACTTCTTATACTATTTGAAACTATTTTTTCTTACTTTAAAAAAATCTTCTTAGAATATTTGAAACAGCATTATTTTATGATTCACTTACTTTACAGAATCTTCTACATGTCTCTGATCAATTATTCTAAATTTATCATTTCCTTATTGATGCACATAATTTTTACATGACTACAACACACTTAATAAAAAGAATAAAATTGACTACCTCAGCTTTCTCCAGTCCAGTACCTACTAGTGTGTGCTTCAACTCTTGTTATGAAGTCTTCTATTTCTCTCTCTCCTCCAGAACTCCTGTTAGTTGAATTACAAAAAGAAAAAAAATATTCTCTTCCTATTATTCTCTTCACTAGCATTTTAGTCAAAGAGAGTTTTCGCAAAGGCATTGTCTTTATGGATATTGGATTTCTATTTCTGCTGTGTCATTTCCAAACACTCATTCTTATCCTCTGACTATTCTTCATCTATCTCATAAATGCAGCTTCTCCCTTTTTCTCTCTGGGTAAACCGATGTTTTCAAATCTCGCCTTTTCTTCCCAGCTTCATCCCCATTTCTCTATGCTTCTTATTTTTTTTTTTTTGAGTCTTTCAAGTTAGAAGTTTACTCACATGTCTGGTGATGTCTTCCTTCCTAATTGTTAAATTTTGAATAGGTAAATCATCCATATGATTGATCATGCAGAAAGTATAAAAACACATTCAGTAAAACTCTCCCTCTTTTTGCTACCCATCTGTTCATTTTTTTAATCATTTGCTCATAAGTATCCACTCTTCTTAAATATCCTCCCAGAGTTCCCTAGTACACAGAAAATAAATAAAAAATAAATTATTTTATTTAGCAAATTCATATGAACTATACCAGATCAAAAACTACACTTTTAACACATATCAATGTGACTTTTAGGTATTTTTGTTTTTGTGAGTTTTTTTTTTTGGTTGCTGTTGTTATTGTTTTTGCCAGTCTTAGGGCTTGAACTCTTTGTTCCTGAGCTTCTTTTGCTCAAGGGTAGCTCTGTACCACTTGAGCCACAGCACCACTTCTGGCTTTTTCTGAATAGTTTATTGAAGATGAGGCTAATGGACTTTCCTGCCTGGGCTGGCTTCAAACCATGATCCTCTAATCTCAGCCTCCTGAGTGACTAGGATTATAGGCATGAGCCACCAGTGTCCAGCTGACTTGTAGGTTTTTTAACATGCCCAAAATACACATAGAAACCTGTCTCATCTCTTTTCACAATTGTGTAACATTTGTTTTGTTTACTATTGATAAAGTCTATTGATGAATAATAGGGTTTTTTCATTTTTTCATTGTTATTGGTAAACAATAGGCTCTTTTCAATTTTTTTCACTTATAAACAATCTTCTAACACCTAGGCAAATTGAAATTGCTAAACCAAAAGTTTCACGCATCTTTAATTTTAAAATTTTTTATCAGATTACTGTGATAGAGGTATGCCAATAGAAATAACACTCAACAGAAAGAGAAATCTTACTTCCCTGTAACCACTAATAGAATATGTATAGAATACTAATAGCATACATCAACAATGCCAATTAGTTTTCTTGTGAATGTTAGTTTCTTCTTTGTGCTGTAAAAAAATTAATACAAATGTGGTTGATTAAAGCAACTTATGTTTATTATCCAGTAATTCAGGAAGTCAGAAGTCCATACTAAACACAAAACACCACATTAAACAAAAAACAAAGTGGCAGGGCTATCAGAACAATACACTGTCTAGCTTGCTGTTATATGGAATATTTAAACTTTTCATGCACTTAGGACTTATGTGGTTTCTGTATTTTGTAGCAATTGAAAAAGAGCTTCCTCCACTCCCATGTTAATTTGCCATTTATTTCTGGAATTTTTCTGACTTTGTTTCCTACAGATATAACACTGTTCTTTTCAGAACTTATTTCAGTATGCTATAAGACTTCAGTCTACCTCCATTTTTCCAGTTGCTTGAACAGTTGCCCAACATTGTGTATTAAATAAATATCTTCACTTGTTTGTGATGCCACCTTTAGTACATGCAAAATTCTAACATGTACTAGCAGTGTGTATTTACACATCACATTGAGAGCAGCAGCACTCTTCTAAGGAAAAAGAGGAAAATTTGCCAATGTGAAACAGCTAAGTACATAAGTAGACCAATGTAGGTGGTCAGAAAGTAAGTCACCACATGTTCAGACTTGCCCTAATGTTAAAATGACAATTCAATCTTCACTACATCAAGATGACAATGACATGGTGATACCCATGAGAGGGCAAGGATCAGCAGCGGGGAGGAGGGCAGGCAAGTAGAAAGTGAACGCACTCAGAAAGCACACCTTCCCTTCTTAGTTGATGGCTACTTTCTGGGGAATTATTACTTGAGTACAGTATTTCTAAGGAACTTCATGAAAAACTAGATTTAAGAGAATTTAAGGAAAACGTAAATAGGTAATCACCATAGCCGCAGACATCGATGAGAGACAAATAAGATGAGCTGAATTGGAAGAGAGAAAGCTTAGCGCTGAGATACTTGCTGCTATTAGGGACTTTGAGGAAAATAAAAGAAAATGGATGGAGGTAGTATTGAAACAAACCAAGTTCTGAGATCTACTGACTCTATATACTCAGGAACAAGCTTAAAAAATAGTTTTGTCTGCATATCATTGATAACCCTTAAGGTATCCACTTTTTATGTGATATATAGATTTGGGAGCGTTGTGTATGTGTGTGTGTGTATATGTGTGTGTATGTGTGTGTGTGTGTGTGTGTGTGTGTGTGCGCGCACGCGCGTGTGCGTGTGTGGGAGAGTGTCTGTGGAGTATGCCAAATATACTCCAAAACATTGAAATATTAAGTTTAAAGGTTTATAAGTGGATTTCAGTATGAATCTCAATTATTTTCTTTGTGAACCATCATGAATTTATAATGAGAACTTTTTCTTCAAGCTTAAGGTCAAAAGTTCTTCTTGTTAATTTTATATTTTCATGAAAAAATTTGAGAAAGTAAACATTTTGGTGGCTACACATAAATAAATATGCAATAAGACATGAGTTTGTGCTAAATTCCTATTGTTAAATCTTTTAAGACAAAACATTTACACACCATACAGAATATGACATGTTTGTCAGACCCCTGCTGTATAATAGCTTCTTTGAAAGAGTCTTGCATCGTACTCATTATTGTCACAGTACTTTGTAGCATTCAGAAGTGTGGTAATGTTTAACAAGTGAACTTATGAATGCCAAAGCACCTCTTAGAGCTTACGGTGTGTAACTTTCAATGGTGAGTGATAAATTATGTCAGCTTTGTTATTTCAGTGGTGCTGTGTGCATGTCATTAGTGGGTCATATACAGAGACACTTAAACAAATTTTCTGTTCTTTTTTTCTCTCATTCTACATATCAAAGCTCCATTCAACCCAAACAATGATGCAGATAGCATCGTCAAGTTTGACACTTACGGAGATGGAATGGGACGATACAACGTATTCAATTTCCAGTACCTGGGTGGAAAATATTCGTACTTGAAAGTTGGTCACTGGGCTGAAACCTTATCTCTAAATGTTGATTCTATACACTGGTCCAGAAACTCAGTTCCCACTTCCCAGTGCAGTGACCCCTGTGCCCCCAATGAAATGAAGAATATGCAACCAGGTGATGTCTGCTGCTGGATCTGTATCCCCTGTGAGTCTTATGAATACTTGGCTGATGAGTTTACCTGTATGGATTGTGGGCCTGGACAATGGCCCACTGCAGATCTATCTGGCTGCTTTGACCTTCCTGAGGACTACATCAAGTGGGAAGATGCCTGGGCCATTGGCCCAGTCACCATTGCCTGCCTGGGTTTTATGTGCACGTGCATAGTTATAACAGTTTTTATCAAGCACAACAATACGCCCTTGGTCAAGGCCTCGGGTCGAGAACTCTGCTACATCTTGTTGTTTGGAGTGGGCCTGTCCTATAGCATGACATTTTTCTTCATTGCCAAGCCCTCTCCTGTCATCTGTGCATTACGTCGGCTTGGGCTGGGGACTTCCTTTGCTATCTGTTATTCAGCCCTACTGACCAAGACAAACTGCATTGCTCGAATCTTTGATGGGGTTAAGAATGGAGCTCAGAGGCCAAAATTTATCAGCCCCAGTTCTCAGGTTTTCATCTGTCTGGGTCTGATACTGGTGCAGATTGTGGTGGTGTCTGTGTGGCTCATCCTGGAAGCTCCAGGCACAAGAAGGTATACCCTTCCAGAGAAGCGAGAAACGGTCATTCTAAAGTGCAATGTCAAGGATTCCAGCATGCTGATCTCTCTCACCTACGACGTGATCCTGGTGATCTTATGCACTGTGTACGCCTTCAAAACAAGGAAGTGCCCGGAAAATTTCAATGAAGCCAAGTTCATAGGTTTTACCATGTATACCACCTGTATTATCTGGCTGGCCTTCCTCCCTATATTTTACGTAACATCAAGTGACTACAGAGTAAGTCTTTTGTTTCTTCTTTCACTTTTCCTCTAATTTCTTCTTTCCCTTGCTCTTATATAAATGTTTTTTTTTGTGGAATTTAAAATAGACTTTTATTTCAGCTTAGGAATGAATTGAGTAATTATAAATGCCATTATGAACCTTGATATCCTATGTATAAATTAATTCATTATGTTTTGAAAGCAATAAATGAGGGCCCACCTTATTTAGAACATTATGCTAGGTACAGAGGGGGAAAATAAATGCAGATGTCATGGTCATTCAAATAATTTATAATCTAGTGGGAAAGAATGCCATACATGCTCATAAAACACCTTAATTTAATTGAAAAGCAACTGGAAGAGAATAAGACTTCATATCTAAGAATTTATTGAGAATACTTCAAATTAGACATGAGAAGATATGACTACAATAGATCAATCTGTAAATTAAAATAGACTTGCAACATTAAGCCCAGATTAGTTGGTTTATTCATACTTCATTTCTGTCCTAAAAGAGATTAAAATACAATGCTGATTTGCTCTATTTCTAAAGTGTTAGTTATATAAACAAATATATTGAGTGGGTATAAAATAGAGGGGGTGGGGGAAGGAAGTCCTTGAACTACCGAAAAGTTTTGTGGCACGTGCACAAGTCATTACTCATAGAGCCTTAATAACAAATATTTCAAATACTTAGACTTCCATATAATTGCTAGCTCATCTGAAAAAAGCATCATAATTCCATCATAATTTTCCAAAATGTCACAACCACTCATTAGGCAATTTTCTATCAATAATTCTGATTTTTTGTACACAATGACAGGATATAAGAATATTTTCTCTTCAGATGATAGCTCTTTCTCTTAGTTCTGAAGTTCTCATCAATTATCAAACTGACGTGCCACCACCTGCTAGGCTAACAAGGCCCTGAAGTTATTGTCAAAGTTTTCCAGAAGCAAAACAATTTCCTTTATATGACATTTGTTTCACAAAATGAGTTGTAAGAATCCCTGGTTCTCTGTGTGCCAGCAATCCTGACACTGCCAAGTGCTAGAAAACAGCATTCTGAAGAGACCAAGTGGATATTAAAGTTCAATTAGATAGGGAAGGAAAAGTTCAAGGTGCTTGTGCCTTCAGTTAATAGCAATAGATTGTGCACTTGGAAATCATCCAGATTGATTTTACAGGTTTTTACCACAAGAAAAAAAAAGGTAAATATGTGAGGTAATGAAAATACCACAGTATATGCTGACCACAGTATATTTATATTTCAAAACATAACATCTCATATGATTGCATATATGATTTCTATAAACCTGTTTTTCTTTGTTTTTCTGGTCCTGGGCCTTGAACTCAGGGTCTGGGTGCTATCCCTGTGCTTTTATGCTCAAGGCTAGTATTCTGCCACTTGAACCACAACTCCATTTCCAGCATTTTGGGTGAGTTAATTGGAGATGAAAATCTCACAGACTTTCCTGTAATAGCTGACTTCAGGGTATAATGAAATGTACTCATTACCTACTCATGTAACTGTAACCCCTCTGTACAGTATCTTTACAATAAAAATATATATTAAAATCCATGATTCTCAGATCTCAGCCTCCTAAATAGCTAGAATTACAGGCATGAAACATGGGCATTATTAACTATTTTTAAGGAAACTAAAGCACAGACTAAAGAATCTGGCAGAAGTTAATGTATCTAGTTTATTCATGCTATTTACCACCATGAGACTAAAGTCTAGAGGTACAATAAGAGGTGAACAAGAAAAGGAATTTATACCTGGGATGATGTTTCTAGAAATAAGAATAAGATTAAAACTTTCCCAGAGAAAAACCAGGTAGTTCAGAAAGAGTGAACAGAATTGGTAAGAGACCAGTGGAAACCAGTGACTTGAATAGATTATATCAGCAAAGGAATTTGTTTACCTAATGTTTAAGGGCTTTGAAGTCTTGAGGGTTTTTTTTTTCTTGCTTCCTTTTTGTGGGTTGTTTGCTAAGGCAAAATCTCTCATGGTAAACAGTAAGAGGGGAAGAAAGGAAATATTTCCTGTTCAATTTTTCTGGATGCTATATACACATGAGCTCACATGACCTCAATAACACTTTGGAATACAAATTTTATTCTCCATCAGAGAGACAAACAGACTCAGGAGAACATTAACTTTTCAGTAGCACATTTAAGAAACAATAGGACAATGATATATTTGAAACTTTTCTCTACCACAAACTTAACACAAAATATGGATTTGAAAGAGTATATAGCAAGGAAGAATAATAGAAGCTATTATAGGTATCTAAGACAGAACATGCAAGAATGTTGGTAAAAATACAAAAATGTAAAGAATCTTTGAGCATTTATGGATTCTTGCTATATCACATCCAAACCTTCTCAGCTAGCTTAAGAATCGAACATGGAGCTATCAAAATTAAATTAAATTGTATAAATAAAACCTAGGCCACACTTTGGTGGAAAGTCATTCATTCATTCATGAGTTTGTGTCTGTTCATGTCCTCAAAATATTTGAGCACTAACACACCTCAGAGTAGAGCTATCAACATAGGAAGTCCCTCTTCTTTCATAACTTACTGTCTAGTAGGAAAAAGAGGAAGAACACAAAAAGCAAACTGGTGAAAACAATGGCTAACTCACTAACTCAGTGATGTGTTCTGATGGGATTTTAAACTTTTTTTTCTTTGAAAGATGGTCATCCTAACATGTATCAAACACCCAGGGATAGTGTTGAAATAAAGATTTTTTGACTCAAAAAGCAAGATTAGAGACCCAAAATTCTGAATTTCTGACCAGCACTCAGTGAACGGAGAGGCTGATAAGCAAAGGACCATTGTTTGAGAATCAAGATGTTGTATTACAAGAAATGAATCAGTGATCTACAACAATCATGATCTTATTGCTAAGGTCATTTGTTGTTGTTGGTGGTGGTGGTGGTGGTGGTGGTGGTGGTGGTGGTTGTGGGGCTTGAACTTCGGGCCAGGGCACTGTCCCCCCAGCTCTTCAGCTCAAGGCTAGCACCCTACTACTTGAGCCCCTGTGCTATTTTGGCTTTTTCTGTTTATGTGGTGCTGAGGAACCCAGGACCTCATGCATGCAAAGCAAGCACTCTACCACTGAGCCACCTTCCCAGCCCCCCATTCATTTTTAAGCTCTCAGATTACATAAGGCCTTACAACCAGTTTTTTTTTCTAGAAATATTTTTATGAAGAACCTATGTACTAAACCTATGTACTCATCAAACACAAAATTTAACATAAAATTTTATTTGCTCCAGAGGTCTACTCGCCCCAGATTGGAACCTGCAATGGCTGGTTTCCCCTTTGCTTATCTCCCCAAGTCCACCAATTGCTGTCTCTCTCCCAACTATGATTAAAGGGTAATAAAGCAGAAGTAGGACAGTTCTTATGTGGCTGGATGGCTTTATGATTTTCAAGTCTCCAGGTGCCTAAAGATATATCCTTTATTATTTCCACAACTACAGGTGTTAAAAGATTCATACTGAGGCTGAAAGATGAGTAAAAGATTTTTGCATGGGGTCTTCCTTGTTCTCCTGTGCTTTTTTTTTCTCCTTCAAGTCCCTGGGTGAGTTGGCTGGTAATTCTTCAGTCTGAGTTTCTCAGTGCCAAAGCCTCTTGCTGTATCCTTCTAGACTCTTTCCATAACAGACTTCAGCCTGTTCCATATTGGCCAAGGGCTACCAATGATGGCTTTTGTTCAGGTCATGTTATCAATGCTCCCAACAAATATCCTTTGCTTTACTAAAATCTTAGAGAAAAGAAACACTGTCTCAATATAGTAGTGAGTCTGTGTGTGATGCTACTAAAGGAATTAGAATTTTTTCACCTTCTCAGAAAACAAGCCCAAGCCATAACACCTGTATCCTGTGGAGATACAAATACTTTGGGGAACAGCCACAGTAAAGCACTCTTCACTAGGCTTTAAACGAAGGGACAGTACAGCACAGGACAGTTTATTTTCCAGGATACCCTACAAAAAGCCTCCCTCTCCTCTTTTTTTGGAATGTCTAAAAGTATGTGATGAGCTTGAAGAAGTATAGAAAAGTTTTCCTTGAAATTTTGCACATTTAAAGTTGCCTCACCCTGACTCTGATACTATGATATATGATGTTTTTCATTTTGACTTCATAGTCAAAATTGAGGGAGAAAAAAATGCACAAATATGTGTACTTAACAAATTATGCCAGATTTATCATAGCTTTTACATTATAGAATAGCTTCTTTTTTGATAAGTTGGCAATGGTTAATTATAGTTGGGGGTCCAAATGTGAAAGGCATTGGAATCGTTAAAGAAGAAAAGAACTTTAGGCTGGAAATGAGACTTAGTGGTAGAGTGCTTTCCTACCATGCATGAAGCCCTGAGGTCTATTCCTCAAGATCACATAAACAGAAAAGGCCAGAAGTGGTGCTGTGGCTCAAGTGGTAGAGTGCTAGTCTTAGGCAAAAGAAGCTTACGGACTGTGCCTAGTCCCTGATTTTAAGCCCCAGGACTGACCAAAAAAAGACAAGAATCTTAAATAACAAAGATAGATATACCTTTCACAGATAAAGTATAATTACTACAGCTAGAATTATGTTACAAGCATAGCCTAAAAATTTACATCAGAAACAAAATTAACAGACATGAATGATAGTGTATATCTGCAACCCCAGCATTTGAGAGGAAGTGACAGAAGGATCATGAAGTCAAGGCCAGCCCTGGCTATACATAGAGACCTTGTCTCAAAAAATAATAAATAAATGAAACTGAAACATTCAAAAGTTTTGTAGTCATGTGACTTCTCCAATTACTTGGTCCTAAGTTTTCCTTGATTATAAAAGAAGGTCAAAAATTTTAGGGCGGGCTGGGAAGGAGGCTCAGTGGTAGAGCGCTTGCCTTGCATTCATGAGGCCCTGGGTTTGATTCCTCAGTACCACATAAACAAAAAAAGAAAAAAGCTGGAAGTGGTGCTGTGGCTCAAATGGTAGAGTGCTCACCTTGATCTGAAGAGCTGAGGGACAGTGCCCAGGCCCAGAGTTCAGGCCCCACGACCAGGCCCCTCCCCCCCAAAAAATTTAGGGAATTAAAAGTTATATTATTTGGTAATAGAATTTGCCTGGAGAGTTTCAGGAGAGGAAAGAAATCTAAATTAGTCTAGAATATCAAGGAATCTTTGAAGATCTATAGCAAATGATTATAAATCTGATACAAGAAATACTTCCTATTTTCTTGTATTGAAAGTAATAAATATAGAGAGTCTAGTGTGAAATTTTCCAGCAAATATATAGGACCTGAAGCCAGGATTAAGTAATAAAATCAGGGATTATGGACAGTAAGGGCCAAAGAAGGAGAAAGGAAAATAAATCCTAATTCTAAAGTATACTAACAAAGGAGATACAGAGAGAATGAAAATTCTGTGAAGGTTGAATTGTGCAAACCAAGAAAACACCAAGATTCATGGCATATAAATGATGAATCAAATTCCAAAGAGATGTCAACAAAATAAATAAAAGAAATAATAAAACAAAAATTTATGTAATGTTCCTCCAAATACTTGAATAGAGCCAAACCTCCAGCAGGAAAATAGAAAAATGTTAAAAGCCAAATTTGTTCTTAAGAAACAAGCCAAGTTCATTCATTGAAAACATCAGCATTCTGACCATTTCATCACTGAATATTTGTTTCCCTACTTAAAATTCTGATTTCAGTGGTTCTGTATAAATATCTTCATACAAACATAAAGAAAATAAACAAAACAAGAAAATGCATGAGAAGCCTTGGAAAGCATTCAGGAGCAACCCACACAAGAGATGCTTACTTAGAAATCCTCCAGTTTCCACAAATATCCCCAACACAGAAGAACCAATTTAATTACTGTATTGATTTAGCCATAATAAGAACACAATTATAACTGATTATAGGATTCTGCTGAGTCACACTTCAGTGCTCTCGTTAGGTAACTACCTTGTTGAATCTACAGCTGGACACTTAACTAGCCAATCTTTTCTTACAGGTGCAGACAACAACCATGTGTATCTCTGTTAGCCTGAGTGGCTTCGTGGTCTTGGGCTGTTTGTTTGCACCCAAAGTTCACATTGTCCTGTTCCAACCCCAGAAGAATGTGGTAACACACAGACTGCACCTCAACAGGTTCAGTGTCAGCGGAACAGGGACCACATACTCTCAGTGTAAGTATGCAACTTGGCACTGACCCTTTCACCTGTGGCATCAGAGTGAAAATCAGGCAGAAACATAAACAATCTCAATATAAGTTTAATAAGTACTAATTCACAAAGCTCTTGATAGTTACTAAGAGCTAAGGAAGGATACAGTGTAAAGCAGACAAGTCAAAGTCTATGTAAAATCTGGCAGGAAAGAAAATCATTCAATTCATAATTAGTGTTTTGACTCTAGATCACCTGATCCCTAATCTTGTTCTACAATCACTTTCATGGGTCACCTTGTGCTAGGTCATAATAGCACTGTCTTACTGGCCTTTTTACTCCTGTGACTAGGGGATTTGATGATATTGGTGTTTAGTAAGGTGTATTCTATATGACCCAGAGACTGAGAGAGGTCCACGGAAAAAATGAAAAGGGAAACCTGATCAAATTAGACGGAGAGGGCTCCCTCCTACACAACTCCTTGAAGTCTAAAGGCCTTCCTTTAACGTATTAGAACCTTTACAGGAAGAAAATCTGCTTATTTTTTCAGACTTTCTTAAAAGTATTTGGCCAAAATTGTCTTGTAAAACACACGCCAGAAAATCCTGCAATACATCTTCTGTTCTAATGGCAAGGTGTTTTTTTTCAGCTGAGAACCAGCTAAGAAGTCAGAATGAACTGAAGGATGCTAAGCTACCGCTCCAGCCCAAAGATCTCTCTCCTAGTGGCTTGCAAATGTCTGAAACACTCTTTTAAAGAATCTGTGATTTAATTCTTTCAAGTTTTTTTGTAAAGCACAAATATACCTGAAGGGCAGAGTCTTTTAAAGCTATCTTCAGTGAATTTGTGGTGTGCATTAGGAAGGATTCACTGGCAGAAGGGTGAAAGGACAGTAGGGGAGTAAGCCACAGAAGTGAGGGAGGCTGCAAGTGACAGAGACAAATGACTGCTTCACAATTTTGCCTTAAAGGATATTTCAAAATAGCTCAGCATCACAGGGTGAGCAATCACATTAGTGCCCCAATTTCTCCAACTAAGTATAGATTTTAACAGGGCTACTCTTTCCCCCACCAGAAAACAGAAGCAAGACTGACAGCCTAGGAGCATGTGCTCAGGGAGGCCCTGTAGATATCATAGCTCCTCAGCTGTAACTAGCTGTGGAGTGAGGACTTACTGTCTTTCCAGCTAAATTCCCAGATTTCACAATGGCTGAATCCCAGGATATGGTAAGACCTGTCAAAACATGAGAAAAATGCTTATTTCTTAAGTAAAGAGGTCTCTTTATCAGCATCCCAATTATAACAGCTAGCTAGTCAGAACAAGAAAGAACTGTCAATAAATAATGAAAAGCAACAATAGCTAATAGGAACAACAGAGTTTACTATGTACTAGGAATTGTGCTAAGTATATATGTGTGTGTGTGCGTGCACACGCACAAGCTAGTATTTTACGTTTTCCTTATGTTCACATTCTTTGAGGTAAAGAAACCCAATTAGAGTCCCACATTTTTATAGTGGCTGAATCCAATTTTGGGGTCAACACATGTGATTTCAAAGCCAGTGTACCTAACCACTGCATCATATCATGCTGCTTCCAAAATGCGAGCTCTGGGCACTCCCATGATGTGTGGTTGTTTTTTGTAGGCTCACAGGGCAAACCAAGGGAAGATGATCCTAATCTGGTCAGGACATGTTAACCTCTGGGCTCTGTTAATAGCTCAAAGCCTTTTGTGGTTATTGGAATAATTTAGCAAAGTCTTTAAGTCTTCACAAATCTTGTTCAAACCAGACCTTTGAGCTCAGAAATGGTAGCATTTTCTAATACATGTATCTAGTCTCGATGATTCTGGAAGGAATAACAAGAGGACTTAGTTCTCTTCAAACATTCAAATACCACTTACACAAAATCAGTGTGCTGTGGGCACAACAGACCTATTTAAACTGTCACTGAGCTATTCCAATAAGTGAAATTCTCTTTCTTTAAGAAACACTAAATTCATTCCTCATTGTTTCATCAGTATTAATCTAATTAATTCAAGTAAATGGAACACTATTCTATAACAGAGTGAAGTTTATATGATGACTGTGTATTTCAACATCTGTAAGTAACAAATATACTCATCTGGTATTTATAATCCTGTTTTATTTATTCAGAGCAGGTTTATGTTTGTGGATTCATTTTATACTTATGAGTCCCACATATCACGAGTTCTATTTTGTAGGTTAGAAAATTGAGAATCAAAGTTATTTCTCAAAGATACATAATGATTTAAGAGTCAAGAGTTGCCCTTGTATTTCCTGATTTGCGGCTAAATTTTTTTCCCATTTCAATCAAAGCACTATGTATAGTCTAATGACTAAGACAGTGTCCCTAGACTATGTGTCTAGGGCACTGTTTTGCATCCTGTAGAGAAAAACACATTAATGTGTTATTAAATTTATTTACTGTGTTCTGTAAGCATTTTTTCAAAAAGAAAACAGAATTCTCAAAAGCCTTAGGGCTTTTATATGTAATAAAGGTAAGTCATACCAGATGAATTATGAAGGTAGATAGATAGATAGATAGACTAGTTTTAGATAAATTATATTTGCTGATAAAATGTTTATTGATTGTGAATCACAAAGAAATCTGAAAGTCTCAGGTCTGTAAAATCCATTTCTATGTGTGAACATGCTACTGACATATTGAATTTAATTCATTCACTTAATATCATAATGTCCACTTCCTCCAATACATGTTCAGCTCAGTTTCTATCCATTTCCCTCCAAAATATTAGAAAGTATGTTGTTTCATAAATCAAGAAAAACTTGATGAGTGTGTAGATTATATATACACTTTTGTATAATGGGCTTGATCAGATTTGAGTATCTGTGAGTATAAAGTGAGAGTAGACATCCTCTATAGATACCAAAATCTGACAAATGTCACTTAGATCCTTCTAGTAAGTATCATTCAGGCACTGAATTCTTTTTGACAGTTATTACTGATTTTGCTGTTGACATTGGACTTACTCTGTCCAGATGTAAAAAAAAATATGATATATAGACAAAGGTAAGCTAAGATAGTACACACATTTATTCCTGCATAACAAATTTCCCCATAATCTAAGTAGCTATTTCATGGTTTTGTCCATCAGGAATTAAAGTGGCTGGGCTAGGCTGGGCTGTTTATCTGCTTCACATGGCATCTGTTTGTAGTTTTCTGCCGAAGCTGAGCTGATTTTGAGGATTTATTACAATTTTACTCTTGTCCTTGGCCCCTTAGTAACAGGCCTATGGGCTCTATGAGAATGGAAATGAATATTGACCTGGCCAAGAAATTCGTACCAAAAAACTGGTACTATATTTACTTACACATTCTGTGATACAGCCTGCCCAGATTCAAGGGGAAAGAGACTATCTCTCAAAGGCTTTGTGGATATTTTTATTATGCTATATTCTCCAAATCCTAAATTAGTCTAGTACTTTACTTTTTCATGGATTAAGAGGCTTAGAATTTTCACATAAATTTTCAGTTCATTCTCTGGCAGATATATCACTTTGACAGCAACTGAGGTGGTTAACAACAACAACAACAACAAAGTATTAGTATGGGTCCTTAAAGCTAAAAAGTTTCTCCCAAAAGATGGATAAACATGACCAAGCTCAGAAGCAGGCATAGAACAAGGAACATGGCTAAGGAAATCTTGGAAACCTCATCATTGGAAAAAATGTTTTACATTACTATGTGCAAAAGAGAAATGCAAGCTATGCCTGATTCATTATATACAATGGAAGTCAGAATAAAAATGAATGAAACCTTTACCTCTTTTCCAGCAACTATACCCACATGTCAACAGTTTCCAAATGTTTCTATTTAAAATCATTTTGAAATGGAGATTTCTTAATCTCACTCAAGGATATTCTTTTCCTGCGATCTGGGGCAAAGGCTGGAAATCTGGCTTATAATAGATAATCCAGCTGGCTCAATAGAAGCTGTCCAGTAAAAAACATTTAAGAACCCCATCACATAACACCCTTGTGTGCTTCAACCACTAATAACACAGGACAGAGAGGTTCTTTTACATGACCTTCAGAGGGGAAACAGACATTGGATTCAGAGAGAGTGGTAGTCTCTCATTCTTTTCCTCATGATGACATCAGCTAGCTACATTCTCATTCTAGATCCTTCACTCCAAGGAAGGCATTTACAGAACAGAAATACCTGGCCACCTGAAAATAAGGACAATGTAACTGAGACTACAGTATCCTAACTGGTCCTTGCAATGCTGTTCCCACACCCACATACTTAAACAAAAATCCTTCGTAGTCAGATGTAAAAGAGGCCATTTATTTTGTTCTGCTTATAAGTAAAGAAAATCCTCAGAGCTGGTTTCCAAAGACAGGCAATCAAGAAAACATGTTGGGAATGAAAGAGTCATTGCATAATATTGATGTATGTACACATGAGGTTATGCTGCATAAAACTCTATAGGAGTTCTTGAGGTTGGGATTAGTATAGTTTAGGGAGATGAGTGAACAATGAAGTGTCCTCAGAATTATTATGTACCCAGATTGGGTCCTATGGGAATTGTGTTTCTCTTGCTCATGGCTATCATTCAAATGTATATTTCATTATCATTATGATCAGCCAAGAGGCTTATGCTAACTAATGATACACAGATCTGGGTCCCTGAGGAGATATAGACAGATGGAGATTGATGTTTCCTTACTCAGAAAGTCACCTGTTTGGGGTGAGTGATGTATGGACTGCTCAATATCAAAAAATAAAACTATTTTATTACAAAGAATTTTCACATTATAAAATGAAAGTGTTTGTATAAAAATATTAAATGAAGTCTTCCAAAGTTATTATATAATTGATTTCTGGAGCTACAGCAACAGAAAGCAGACATGTATGCATCAGACTATGTTTTTAGACCAAGTCTTTGAAGACATCCTAGTGAGCAGAGATCAAGCTATTGCCAAAGGCTGAATCTGACTTTATAAAAGGAAAAATAATACCCATTTCTTCTCTGCATTGCA